ACCCATAATGATCCTCCTGTCTCAGCCTCCCCAGCGCTGGGATTATAGGCATGTGCCACCATGCTGTTTCAGTGGCTGGCTGGGTGTGCCTGGGGTTCCAGGGCCAGCACAGCATGTAGTGCTGGGGATTGAACCTGGGTCCTCGTGCTTGCCAGGCAGTTGCTTAGACCGCTGAGCTATCTCCCCAGCCCTCCTAAGTGGCTTTTAAAAGTTTCAACACACTTCTGGGAATCTGAAAGGCAAGGGGTGTGCACAGTGCTTAGCAGATGTACTTGTTGCAAACATTTTAGGAAATCTGTGAACTGACCACTGTGTTAGTGGAACAAAGATCTGAGTAGCCACACGTGACAAAGAATGCAGATGTCACAAAGTTAGTCCACCAGTGCTACCAGACAAACAATAACAACTGGAACAAAGCTTAAGAAGAGGTAGAATACGATTTCCAGAGTTGTCACATTCTTTTGGTTTTTGAAACTACAAGCCACGCAAAGAACTAAAATGACATGGCTCACATCTAGAGGGAAAAAAGGTCAACAGATCACTCCCTAAGGAAGTCCAGATACTGGAAATATTAAATATCTTAATTCAGCTCTTTTAAATACATTCCAAGAACTAAAAGAAACCATATCTAGATAACATACGTAAAAAGATCGAAAGTGTTTGAAACAGAATTTCTCTGGGAGGTGCTCTGGAAAATTTCAACAGAGAGGCTGTGCAGCAGATACAAGCAAGCAAAAGAAAAAAGTCCACGAGCTGGAAGATAGATGCCTGGAGGTTAGCCGTGGTGGGGAACAGGCCAGAAAGGGAGCACAGATGAACAGAGCTTCAGAGACGTCATGGGAATCTCAGAAGCAGAAAGGAATGGACAGCGTGTGTGAAAACGCAGGTGAAAGCCTCCCCAGTTGCCTGAAACGCCCGGAGAGTCTCCAGAGAGCTGTGGCCGCCTTTGCCTCTTTCAGGCTTGGCCTTTTTAGGCAAGACAGCGGCCTGCCCAGTGCCCCATTTCCCTAGTGGCCCAGCTCCTCCTCCGGGCTCACGTAGGGCCCAGGCCAGACGCCAGGGTCACACACAGCATGACTTTGCCCAGGTCGGAGCCACGCTCTGAGCTCCAGGCTCAGGTCTGGGGATTCCTTTGTCCTGTCTTATACCAGTGGGGGCAGGAGGAGGCTGAGCACACAGAAAGGCCTAGGACAGCACTGGGGTCGATGCAAGTCCCAGTGGACTTCCCGTCCCTAAAGCACTAGCTCCCTCGGGTGTGGCACAGAGCTCTGTTTTTTTTTTTATTTTTGAAGTAGGATCTCTTGTGCAGTTCAGCCTAACCTTGAGCTCACTTGTAGCCCAAGCTGGACTCAATTTGCAACAATCTTCCTGCCTCAGCCTCC